CAAGTCACTTTTATACAGGTATAAATGTAAACCTAGAACTTGTTTTAAATACCTTTTTTAATTACATGTCTAATAATAATTCGCCAAATTTAACTACAGATAAATAAATATTTGAATAATAAACAAATATATTCATTATTTAATATTTTCTTCGAATATGTATTTTGGATTAAAGTATATTTTCTCAAGAGTAAACCTGATATTAAATATTTCCACTTTTGTTCTTTTGGAAATATTTAATATTGAGAATTAGTTATTTTGGCGCTGCAATCAAAAGCGGATGTCAACATAAAAGCACGTCTAATATGCATATGGTTTTAGACTCTAAACTTCATAAGCCATTTTGTGCATTGTTGAAGCAGCTGTGCAAAAATATTACTTATCATTTCGGAACGAAATGTCAAAACTTGGCTGATTGCTGATATCAAATATATGCATTTTTGATGTGAACGTGTGATCATCGTACAACGTCACGATCCTAAATTATTATTGTATACGCAATCAAGAGTCATCTACAGATTTTGTGAAACAAAGAACTTTTCAATATCTTTTATTAACCTTGGCCTGGTCGTCATAACAGTAAGTATCGTCTTCCGAGGAAGTTAAAAATAGTTCGGTTTAGTGAAAGGTCTGTCGCACTTATGAAATAGTTTTTCAAACTGAAATGTTATTCGATCTGTATAAGATACCAAGTTTCGTAATATAACGTTTAGTTTTTATCTCTTACGAAACTCTCGAACCTGCTTCCTGGTTCTCGAAACGTCACTTTAATATTCCACCTGAAGAGATACAAACGTTCGTGAATATACGCAGTTACTAATATACTTTATTGAAAGTGAAGAAAGTAGAATTACGTTTCATACATTCGTATTTCATTATGAACATTTGGTAACCTATTATTTTCAGATTATGATTGAGAAAGAATGCGTGCAATATGTGTAAAGTAAAAGTCACTGTATAAAACTATATAATCAAAATAAACTGAAGGCAAAATTTCACCAATGGTTCTGGTATACCTTACATTTATACGCTAAATTAAATAACGATGTAAGAGGTATAGTGAGATGCATCTGCCTTCCGTTGGTCCATTAAATTGAAAACAGTGTTGATCCTGTGTATTATTGTGGTTAGTACAATAATCTTTATTGATCATTTATGTTTATAAACAAGATTTATGTAATATTATAAATTAGAAAACTTTGTTAATGTTTAAAGATGTAGAAAAAATACAAGAATATATTAGATACTGGTTTATATTGTTCTGGAACAAATGTATAATAAATAATTGATGTTATATACATTTCTCTGTTAGAAAGAAAATATGTACTTAATCTAGTAAATTAGATATTGTGTAGAATATTTTTTAACAAAAATTAATAATGTATTAGAATATTTAACATTAAAAAACTTAAAAGTTTTAGAGTTTAATTTCTGATGTTCATTATTTCAGTACACATTATTTTGAAAGTTTAAACTTGCCACAATGGGTAACGGGCAACAAAATTATAGTCAAACATGTGTTAGTACATGGATGGAAAAAATGAGTAAAGGAATACTATCAGGTATTCATTTTAAAGAACATTGGAGAATTTGGGTTCCAAAAATATATAGCCCAATACGAAACAGCAATTGTTTAGACTGGTACATCGATGAAGAAAATGCACAAAAAATGTTGTTTTATACACTAGAAGAATTCATCTGTAATGGAGATCCACAACTTATTTTAAAACAACTAAGTCAAATGGATAGTAATATTTGTGGCAAAGTATTTAAGATGGGAGAGCCTACATACAGTTGCAGAGAATGTTGTATGGACTTCACTTGTGTTTTGTGTGTGGATTGTTTTAAACAATCAGCTCATCGCAATCATAAATATAAAATGGGCACATCTGGTGGTGGAGGATGTTGTGATTGTGGAGATGTTGAAGCTTGGAAAAGAGATCCATTTTGTAACATACATTTAGCCGGAACTCAGGCTAAAGAATCTGGTGGAAACAAGCTACCTGGTGATGTTGCAGAAAGAGCAGTGATAACTTTTGAAGCAGTTCTGAGGTATTGCTATGAAATGTTATCTTTAGAACACACGAGCGTACCTCATGATTTGGGAATCAAAGAAAATGAAGATGATTCTTTGTCACTTTTGTCTACTTCAGACTCTTATTGTACAGTCCTATTTAATAATGAGACACATACATTTGATCAGGTAATTAATACACTTACACGTGTTATGAAATGCTTGCAAAGAGAAGCAGTAGAATTTGTAACAAATATCGATAGAGAAGGTAGAGCTGTTGTGAAGTGTTCTAGGTTTAAAATTTGTGAGGATTTGAAACACGGCATTGAAAGATTTACTGTAAGACATAGCAGCCGGGCACTAAAAGTTCTTGTGGTTCATGCTCATGTAATTGCTCATCAAACATTTGCTATGAAACTCTTAAATTGGCTACAACAATTTATAAGTCTCTGCGAAGATTTCAGAGTGCTCTTCAGTAATGTTGCACTAAATACAAAATTACCTGATATTTCCGTTGTAGAAGGTATGCTCATGAGAGATTCACAGCTGTGGAAATCTGCTAGAACAGCATGGCATAGATTATTTATGTCTGGTATGCTTATGGAATATGAAAGCAAGAAAGCTCTAGCAATTGTTTTCACTAATAATTATGGAACAGTTATGAAGGATTTCATAAGGGATGATCATGATCATTCGTTTTCTATTGTTTCACTTTCTGTGCAATTGTTTACTGTTCCAACACTGGCACATTACCTCATTGCACATCATGATGTATTATTTATCTTGTTGAATACATTTATTTCTGAAAGTTCACGAAGATGCAATGCTGCAGGAAAGTTAGAATTTGAAAGAGATCCTCCACATTCTTCTTTTAGAAGAGCACAACAAATACTTCATGATTTACGGTACTTGCTAAGTACCAAACCTGATGTTTGGACAGATGATCTAAGAAAAGGATTTTTACAAGGTCTTTCACTTTTATTGACTTTGTTTTGCAGTATGCAATGTATGGACGCTGTGCTGAGACAAGTTGGCCAGCATGTGGAATATGAACCTGAATGGGAATCTGCTTTTAATTTACATGTTAGACTATCTCCTGTTATGACACTTGCTCTACAATGGTGCGGATCGGATCGAGTTGTTTTAATAAAAGCTTTTAGATTAGTTTTAAAAAAATTATATGAACAGACGGGGTCTGAATTTGGTCCAACACAAGTAAGAGAATTGGCAGATCATAGTGCAACATGTCTTCAATATGACGTATCATCTGAACCAGTGTCTATACACCTTCCACTCTCCAGATTTTTAGCTGGTCTTTTTTTGTATCTTGAAAAACATAATTTACATTTTCAATGTGAAGAATTTATTAATCAAACAAAACCAACACCAGAGCAAATCATAGAACCTGTGCTAGCTGCTCAAGTAATGATTTCACAGGCGCATGCCGGTATGTGGAGGAGAAATGGATATTCTTTGGTGAATCAATTGTATTTTTACCATAATGTAAAATGTCGTTCAGAAATGTTAGACACAGATATTATTTTACTTCAAGCTGGGGCATCTCTGATAGAAAGTAATGAATTTTTGATTCACGTTTTAAATAAATACAATCTTTTACATTGGGCAAATTCAGATTTTGAAACTAATGCTTTGAAAAATCCTGGAGAAGATAGTATTAGACAAACTATTAATTTAGTTGAAGAGTTTCTAGAACTTTTGATAACAATAATTGGAGAAAGATACGTACCCGGAGTTGGGCAAGTTACTGCTGATGATCGTTTGAAGAAAGATATAATTCAACAACTCTGCATTAAACCTCTTTCTCATTCAGAACTTAGTAAAGCGTTACCAGATGATCCAAACATAGAAATGGGAATGGAAAAAATAATCCTCGAAGTTGCAGATTTTAAGAAACCTTCTCAAGCATCAGGTGGAAAAGCAGTGTATCAATTGAAACCAGAATTCTATTCAGAGTATAATGTTTTCTTCTATCATTACACTAAAGAGGAATTAAGTAAATCTGAAGAAGTACAGCGAAAACGACGGAAAGCCTTGGGAGAATTAGAATGTTGTCCACCTCCTAAACTTCCTAGACTGTCAGAAGTGTTTAGTTTAGTAACAAATTTACTGCAGTGCGATGTTATGTTACATATTATGAAAACTGTATTGGAAAGAGCACTTAATTTTATGGCTCGCAGTTTCTCAGAGCCACAAGTACATAAAGTTTTACACCTTATTGGATATGCTCTTCAAGAACAAGAATCTGGGTATTATCCTTTTCTTATATTTACCGCAAGGGCTGCAAAATGGAACATTTTTAAATTATTGGAAGATTTATATAACAGTCCACGCATAGAGGCGCATAAAGACTTACTAACGTGGGTTTTACGAAAATATAGAGAAGTTACTGGTAATACTATAGAGGATAATAATGTACCAGCCGTAGTTCAGACAGAACCCATGAATGACAGTGAAGGTAATAAAAATGATAAACAATGGAGAACACAAATGGCAGCCCAGAAACGTGCAAAAATAATGGCACAAATGGCTGCTATGCAGAAACATTTTATGAAAAAGAATGCTGAGCTGTTTGAAGAAGCTGGTTTAGATGCTAATAAGTCCAATGATCGGGGTTCTGCTATAGACTTGAATGAATGTTTCCAAAAAACACCTGTTGCCATTGGTATTGGACAAACGGCGAGAATGTGTGAAGAGAAAACTTATACTTGCATCTTATGTCAGGAAAATCAAACTGTAACAGCAGCTGGTCCAGCAATGGTATTAGCTGCGTGTGTTCAACAGTCTACAGTATTATGTCAATATAGAGGGGATTCACCTAATGAACCAGACCCATTGTATCTTTCTGCAAAGTTAGGCGCATCACCGCATACTAGTACATGTGGTCACGTGATGCATGTAAATTGTTGGCAAAATTACTTTAATAACGTCCTTATTAAAGAGAATAGGAGACCGTTCCGCTTACGGCAACCTGCAAGTTTTGACGTGGAAAAAAATGAGTATCTTTGTCCACTTTGCGAGTGTCTTAGTAATACTATCTTACCTCTCTTACCACCTTTAGGGATATTACAACCGACACCTCAAAATCAGCCCCAACTTGATTTTAGTACATGGTTAGAAGGTTTAAGGCTAACAGAATCTGAATTAAGATATTCTAATCGTCGATTCTATACAAATGCTGAATCCCAAGATGCTCAAGCTATGGAAGAAAATAATCCCTGGAAGCAAGAACCACATGGCTGCCCTCCAATTGTTTTTCCTCAAACACATACAAATCCAGTAGAAGCTTTAGAATCAATGTATGGCCATCCTGGCCCAACAATCTCTGATGATTTGGTATCAATGATACAACATTTTGCACAAGCAACATATACAATAGGTTGTGAAACAGAATCACGTGAAAATGACCTTACAGTTCCATTGTCAGTATGGAAATCAACAGCATACACTATTCATGCCATAGAATTTCTTCTACGCGATATGGATAAACCATTATTAGGTGCTTTATCATCTAGACAGAGGGATAGTTTAGAAGGTCTTGCTAGAATTTCAGCTATTTTGGGATCTACATGTACGGCTAATCTCGGTACAAATTTGACATGGGCAAATAAAGATAATATTGGAAATCATGCCCTTTCCTACATAACAATGTTATTAAAGAATCCACCTGATTCAGCAAGTATCTTAGATTGCGATTCATTTGGATTACTTGTTTCTTTAATTAATTCTCTCCCAAATCTCTTCAATACAAAGGAAGATACACCACCACTTGTCGTTACAGGTGGAATATGTGACTTTTACGCTTTACAACTTGTGTTTCTGTCTCTTATCGTGAGAATATTATTAACGTCAGATTTTAATGAAGGAATGGATACGGAAGGGCAAGAAACGACTGAAAATACATCTGCAGAATCCATCCTCACATTGGTTCAAGCTTTAAGCGTTAATATTGACACGCAAACAGTTTCTGAAATTTGGAGGCGGATTAAGGAAGCTTGTATGCCTTTCCTTAGATGTTGTGCTCTATACTTTCATTATGTAACCGATGTTCCAGCTCCAGAAGAATTAACTAAAGTAGAAGGAGCTACATATGAAAATATTTGTGCATATTTGGGTTTACCCACAACATGTGATGAATTAGTGAAGCCAAATTTAGATGTAATTCTGAGATTGATAAGTGTTTGGAAAAATCATCCCATTGTTCAGATGCATTTGGCTGGTGCTAGTGCAGTCATAGTATTTAAAGAACCTTTGAAAGTTAATAAATTGGTCGAGCTTCCAGAAGATTATAGTGAACTGATAAATATGACATCATCATTCACATGTTCCAATAATGAACAAGAGCACTTGAAAAATCCAACAATGTGCCTGGTCTGTGGAGAAATGTTATGTTCTCAAAGTTACTGTTGTCAGCATCAACTGAACAAAATGACGGTTGGAGCGTGTACATATCACGCTAGCACATGTAGTGCAGGAGTTGGAATATTTTTGCATATACGAAAATGTGAAATCATCTTCTTGAGAAGTCCAAATCGAGGATCGTTTGCTTGTCCACCTTATCTTGACGAATACGGGGAAACGGATCAAGGTTTACGAAGAGGAAATCCACTTCGACTGTGTCATGAAAAATACAGGCAGTTGAATCAAATGTGGTTGGGACATGGAATATATGAATCTATGTCAAGGGCTATTGAATCTTCAAATACTCTTATGTTGATACGATGGCACCGTCTATAACCATCTTAGGATTTCCTATGCAATCTAGCCTGGACATTTAGTTAAAAATACTAAATCTATACTTAGCATAAGCTACTATAGCAGCTAACATTATGACTGTTAATTAAACTGTTTGATCATCATAAAGATCTGATAAAATTATTTATTTTGAGAATACAGTGCGGATGGCTTTGTATATTTAAAACGATTGGATGTTATTCCCGTTGTGATGTCGTTTTAGATTATTTCAGAGTTTACGGAATTTTCTATTATCATTGTGTAAATTAAATATAAATTTCTTTATAATTATTAACAAAATGTTGTACGAACTTTGTTGCTTGTAGAAATTAGTTTTTAATGTCATTCAACTCATTGTCACATTGTTTAAAGAATTTTAGGATTGTATGATTAACTCAAGTTATATAAATGAAAGACTTTTATGTCTCATTTTAAAATAATATTACTTAATATTAATTTTCTTACTATTTTACACAAGTAGTATAGGTGACATTAAAAAAGTTTCAACATATAAACTGAATACGTAACATTGATACTTGGATATATTAATAGTAATTGAAAAATTTTGGTTTTAGAAATCTGTAAACAGTAAGATATATCGTACG